GCAGGTCGAGGCTGTGGTGGCCGGGAGCGGCCACTGCACTCCAGTCTGGGCAACAGAGACTCCAACTCAAAAAAAATAATAAATAATAAATAAAAAAACAAAAAGAAAATAACAATGACCCCTCCACCCCTTGCCTAGGTTCAGGATCACCCAACACCTCACTAACAGGCCAACCTTCAAGCCCTCTCCCCAGCCAGGAGGGATCGACTCTTCTCACCCAGTCCACGCCTTCCTGTCTCCACCTCAAACTTACCACCTACTGTGGAATGAGTCCTGACCAGCCCTCACCACCCCTCTCTAAACTGCTGGAAGTGAGAGAGTCCCCTGCCAGGAAGGTGTCACCACCTCCACACCTTGCCTGGAGCAGACCTGCCAGCAGCACTTCTCTCAGCGCCTCTCAGCCAGATTCCAACTGACCCTTTTTCTTAGACATCTGTCCCCACCTGAAATTCCTTCACTGCCCCTCCAAGATCGTCCATGAAAAAAACCAAAAATCAAACAAATCTGCTTGAACAACAGCTGCATCTTTGTGGCAGAAATTTCCAAGGACTGTCTTGCTTAATCTTCACAACTAGCCCACGGTGGAAATTAGCAGCCCCACTTGCAGAAGAACAGGGGGCTCATATAGGAAAAGCGCCTTGCCAGACCTCTCCTGGGGACCTGCAGACCAGAAACAACCCCCACCCCAACCTGTGCCCAACTATCCAGCCGCCCTCACCCCAGCCCTGAACCTCCCCATCCCAGGCCCACAAACTGACCCCCATCTATGCCCCTCTCCTGGAAGCTTCTGAGGCAGCCACACCCAAGACCCACTCCACAAAGAGTCCTACTCCAGCCCCAAAACTATCACCAAGGTCTTAGCAACAGCTGCAACTCCGTGAAGGCTCACCCTGGCAGCGCAACTGTCACACACGGTTTCATCTGATCCTCTCCTAAGCCTGCAGCGTGAGTGTTGTCACTTACTTTACAGACAGGAATACTGAGGCTCAGAGAAGTCAGGTAACCGGCCTGAGGACATGAAGCAGGTGAAGGGCAGCGTCGGGATTTGAGCTGGTGCTTCTTCTGCTCTTGACATCACCCTGCCCTGCCTCTCTGGCTCGTCCCTCTTCCTGTTCTGAACTCCTTGGAGTGGACACCACACTGTGGCCAGGCCCGTTCTGCCTCTTTCCTCAGCCCCAGTCCTGCCTAAGCCCTCCAATCCCAAGCTGACAACCTACCCCTGGGGCCCAGAGCCTAAGGACCTGGTCAGCTCCCAATGCCGGAAGTCTTCACTTAACCACTGACTCTTTAACAATAAACAGCCACACTGGCATTTACGGCAAGCTTCCTGTGGGTCCGGTTTCCAGGTACCACACTTCCCATCCTTAGAGCAAAGCCACCATCCCTCCACTGCCCACAGCAGTTCCTCCTCTTTCCCTGGGGCCAGCAGACCAATGTCTTTGGAGCCTCCGCCAGGCCAGTCTTCCTTCGACAAGCTCTTCCCCAGAAACCAACAGATTTCTCCTGCGTGGAAACAGACTCAACGGTGCCATCCATCTCCCAAAGGACCTTCCACCTTCCCAGCCCCCTGGCCTCAACACACCTCCCAGCTACCCTTTCAGGTCCAACACCGACCCAACCTCCTCCCGTGGGCCTCCAGTCCCGCGACCTGCCCCCTCTCCCAGCACCGCAAACCGCCCTGCTTCCTTCATGCTCTCACCTGCTGCTGATTGGCAACTCCCATTCCTGACTTGGTGGCACCCCCCCAACTCTTCTTGGGAAGGAAAAAGACCCTTCCACGGCCAGGTTCCACCTCCTCTGCTCCTGGATGACTGACTCCCTCCTCTCTGCTTCTCTTTCTTTGAGGAAGAGGGAGCCTGCGGTGGTCTTTCTTCTCTGCTTCTCTCCCGGGAGTTCACCTGGCCTCCCTTTCACCGACCCCTCTACAGCGACAGTCCAGGTGTGCATTCCTCTTCCTCTTTCCAGCCAAGAAAGTGACCGGCGCGACCACTCCTCGCCCCAAGGCTTGCATGCCGGCGACTTCGCCTCATCCCATTGCCAGGGGCCCATCTAATTCTTCCAACTGCCCTTCGGGGGCCAAAGTTGACCACGCTTCCTCCCCCGATTCTGAGGCAACTGAATCCAAAGGCTGCCAGCCTCCCGGTCTCACAAACCACCGAACTTTCTCTAACTGCCCATGGTTTGAAAACCTCAAACGATCACCTTCGACGTGCGGAGCGGGGTGGGGGGCATACACCAGATACTTTTCACCTTCCCAGACGATGGCCACCCCCCTCTAACAGCC